CCGCAGCGTGTCCTGCGGGCGGGCGGGCGGCAGTGAGGACCAGGGTCTGGGCTCAGGCCTCACCTCTGTCTTCCGGAAGCCCGCCCCGCCCACCCCAGGCCGGAGCCAGAGGGCCTCCGTGGGGCGATGGGCGGGGCAGCAAATGCCAGGGCCCTGGCATCAGGAGGAGCAGTGACCGCCGCCCCTGCCCCGGGCTCTGGCCCTGGGGGGAGTCGTGTCCCCTAACACCTGACCCTGATCTGAGCTTGTAGGGGCAGACAGAGAGCCCCTGTGGCCTCACCTGCACATCGCGGTGCTCCTGGGCCCCAGGCAGGACCCCCTGCTGCTCCGGGCCCTGCCCCCCCTCCCATGTACAATGGGGCGCTGGGCAGGCAGAGGGCGGGAGGCCTGACCGCCGGGACGTCACCGGCACCCTTGCTCTTGAACCCAGCCTGAGTTCTCCCTGCCCAGCCGGCCCACAAGTACCTTCATGATCCCGTTCCAGTTGTCGCCAGTGGAGACCTGGACGAGCGTGAGGAAGGCCATGCCGAAGTTCTCGAAGGTGGCGTGCCGGCTCATGCCCTCGCACGGGTTCTCGTCGTTGCAGACTGAAAGGAAAGGCGGTCAGCCGGCCCACTGCAGAGCCCGCCGGCCTCCTCTCAACTCCCACTGCACCCCTCAGAGGTGTGTGCGGACTGTGCCCTGCCCCCAGATGGAGAGACTGGGGCTCAGGGAGGTGGCACACAGCTGGGGCTCAGGCTCAGGTGAGCCTGGCTCCTCCCCCAACTCCAGTGTCAGTTCCAGAGGGACAGGATGGGGTGGGTGCGGGCCGGCCCCCAGGGGAGCCCTGCTTTCTGGAGGTGGCCCGGGGTTGCCCTGGCTGTCCTGCTTGTAGGGGTGGCCCTGGCCCAGGATGGGCACTGGCTTGTGGGCTCGGAGGAGGCATCTCTAGAGGTCAGACAGTGTAGAGGCTCAAAGTGGGCATCCACTGCATAGGCCTGGGGTATGCACGTGGACCCAGGCTAGCACCTCTCAAAAGCTCCTACTCACACGGGAAGGGGTGGGGGTGGCGGAGGGCCTCCCACCCATCCCCCCAGGGCCTGATATTGGGGCATCTCCCAAATACAAAGACCCTGATGTGCCAGCCGGCGTGGCTCAGTGGTTGAGTGTCGACCTATAAACCAGGAGGTCATGGTTCGATCCCTGGTCAGGGCACAAGCTCAGGTTGTGGGCTCAGCCCCCTTAGGGGACGTGCAGGAAGCAGCCGATCACTGATTCTCTCTCATCACTGATATTTCTATCTCTCTCTCACCCTCTCCCTTCCTCTATGAAATCAATAAAAATATATTTTTTTAAAAGACCCTGGCCAGACCGGTTTGGCTCAGTGGATAGAGCGTCGGCCTGCGGACTGAAAGGTCCCAGGTTCAATTCCGGTCAAGGCCATGTACCTTGGTTGCAGGCACATCCCCAGTAGGAGGTGTGCAGGAGGCAGCTGGTCAATGTTTCTCTCTCATTGATGTTTCTAACTCTCTATCCCTCTCCCTTCCTCTCTGTAAAAAATCAATAAAATATATTTTAAAAAAAGACCCTGATGTGACAGTCTCGGGGGGCTCTCAGGCCTCCCCCCAAAGGCCCTTCTCCAGACCCGGTCCCCACCCAACCTGGGCCTGCTTCACTCACCCAGCTTCCCGAAGAGCTCCACGCCCAGGGCGGCGTAGATGAAGAACAGCAGCATGAAGAGGAGGCCCAGGTTGCCCACCTGTGGAGACAGCAGGTGGGCTGGATTGGGACTAGGTGGGGCCGGGGGAGGTGAGGGGAGGCTGCAAGGCCAGGGAAAGGTTGGGGTGGGGGCCAGCAGGCTCCACCTAAAGGGCCATCCTGAGGGTCAGGGCAGCTGAAACACTTCACAGGGTCTGTGTCCATGGCTGCTACCCCCGCATGACCTCCTGGGGGGCAGGCTGCCCAGTACAGGGCACAGATAATGGTAATATGCTGGTGAAGCCTTTACTGGCAGCAGCCTGGATCCAAGCATTTCATATTCATTAGTTCACTTATCCACACGCTGATCCATAAACTCTCTTTTCCCCCCATTCTGCAGATTGAGAAAGAAACATACTGGGCGGTGAAATCCTGGCCCAGGGTCACATCGCTATTACTAGAGTAGGACTGAGATCCATAGCCACCCCACTGGCCCCAGGGCCCATGAACACAATCGCTATGCCATATACCTGTATTCATCCCCTGGGTGAATACAGAGGGGAAGGAAAGGGTGTCTCAGCAATAATGCCGCCTCCTCCATGAAGCCTGCCTAGATTTCCTCCAGGCAGACTGGGATGCAGTCTGACAGTGTGAGTGTAACCGGTGTGTCCCTGCCACTGTCTCTGCCGCTCTGGGAAGCTCTTGAGAGCCGGAACATGACTAGATTAAGTCACATGTGCTTCCTCAGACCAGCACGGAGCCCAGCCACGGAGAGGAGTGGACATGGGAATCATGCAGAACTGTGAGCCCCAGAAGCGTCCTGCATGCCCAGCCACCCCTGTCCCACGGCTCCTGTGGGAGGAACACGTCCCAGATTCCAAACCTGTTTCCAATCTATCTGTACACCAGAGACCGCTTCTTACTACGGATAAGAAAAGGCTCAAACACATTCTTGCCCTGGAAGTGAAGTATCTCCTGGAGCCCTCAGAAGGCCGGTGTGAATAAGTCCGAAGACGTTTGCATTAATTGCTGAAAAGTAAACCACGTTAATCACAGCCTCCTAATGCCTTCTTGCACCAGAGGAGGGTTCCCTTCCGAGCTGCTCTACAATCACACCAACAGTGTCTGACTAATTAAATGATGCTCGTTCATTAATGAAATGAGCACATACCGAGCACCTATGAGGCAACGTGTGAGGCCCTGGCAGCGAGGAGATGGTGCGAGGGTGGCCGGGGCCCTGGGCTCAGCTCCCCGCCTCTGCGGGCCCCAGTCAGGAGCATTTGTGAGCCAGAGTCCACCTCACCCTTCCTATCAGTCCTTCCCTCCTCCCTCAGCATCTTCCAGAGCTTGTACGGCTACAGCCACCTCCTCACCCACCTCCCTGCCTCCAGCCTCTCCCTCCAGTCCATCGTCCTCGGAGTTGCCAGAGCAACCTTCTCAAAGGGTGAGGCCATGCCTGGCCAGTGTGGCTCAGTGGTTGAGTGTCGAGCTATGAACCAGGAGGTCACTGTTTGAGGAGGTCACGGTTCGATTCCCGGTCAGGGCACATGCCCAGGTTGCAGGCTCGATCCCCAGTATGGGGCCTGCAGAAGGCAGCCGATCGATGATTCTCTCTCATCATTGATGTTTCTATCTCTCTCCCTGTCCCCCTTCTCTCTGAAAGCCATAAAAAATATATTTAAAAAAATAAAAATATTAAAGGGTGAGGCTTCCCTTGTCTAGGACCTCCTGTGGTGCCCACTGCCTGCAGGACAGAGCCCGAGTTTGCTGGCCTGGCATCAAAGGCCTGACCCAGCCCTGCAGACCCCCTCCCAGCCTGACCTCCTCGCAGACTCCAGCCACAGGAGACAGACCCCACTTGCATATTCTGTTCCCGCGGCAGGAAAGACCCTCCCTCCGTCTTTGACTGGTAACTGCTCCCTCCCCACCCCTCAAAGCCCAGGTCACCAGTCACCTCCCCTGAGAAGCCTTCCCTGATGCCCCTTCCCTCGGCATAGGAGAAAAGGGGCTAACGTTTAATTTTTATAGCACTTTACAGAGAACAAGGAACGGTCCAGGGTCAGCTAACAGATGTTGACGGGGAAGCCTGCGGCCATGCCACGTGGTAGTTGGCACTTGAGTCTCTTAAAGTTGCTGACATAATTGTAATTGCTATTGAGCCAGGGACCACCTGGGCATCTTCATGTGCCCTCTGCCAACTCAGGGTTGGTCTGGGGAACCACCCAAGGATACCCAGGGGTCAGAACAAGGAGGTTGGGGGGAGGGAAGAAGGCCAATATAGCTGGGGGCACACACCACCCATCCCCATTCCTAGCAGACTCTCACACAGCATTTCCTATGGCCCCGGGCCCATTCCTTTCCTAAAGGCAAGGAAACCGAGGCAGAAGAAGGTGAGCCACATGCCCAGGGTCTCACGGGGGACGAAGCTTTGATCCCAGGCAGGGTGATCGGAGTCTGGGCTCCACCCACTTCCTGCCCACACACCCCGCAGGCCCAGCACTCACCCCGTCTTCCATGTGGCAAATCTTTCGAAGAGACTTAACATTAGGAAAAGCCACTTCTTTGCATGAATGCCCCTGCTTTCGATCAGACCTGGTGAGAGTCATGGCGCTTTCCCTTTGCAACTGGGCTGCTGGGAAGCTCACACCAAACTGGAGAACGGAATGTGCTAACATTCGTAGCCCAGGTCATCGTGAGAACTAGCTGTGCTTTCGCCTCCCCTGAGCTGTTCGTCTTTTATCCTCATGTGCAGTGTGCGGTATCTGTGCCTTTTATTTTAAGACTAGAGGCCCAGTGCACCAGATTCATGCACTTGGGGGGTGGGGGGGTCGGTTGGTCCCTTAGCCTGGCCTATGCCCTCTCACAGTCCAGGAGCCCTCAGGCCTAAGCCATCAGTCGGACATCCTTAGCGCTGCCATGGAGGTGGGAGAGGCTCCCACCACCGCCGCTGCGCTTGCCCCCAGTGGGCCCAGCTTCTGGCTGAGTGGCACTCCTCCTGCATTGAGTGTCTGCTCCCTGGTGGTCAGTGCACGTCATAGTGACCGGTTGGTCCACCATTTGGTCAATTTACATATTAGCTTTTTATTATATAGGATACTTGAAGTTCCTTAAGACTAGATGAGTCATAACAAATAAACAAGTGTGCATGAGGCGTACCTCAGAGCAGAGGCCACCCTGGGGGGAAGGACAAGGGGAGCCTCAAGTAGTCAGGACAGCAGGGAGGGAGAGACTGGAATCTCAGACTTCCCAGGATGAAAGATGACCCCTCTGTGGCCCTGCCCCTATCTCCCTCCCACTGACCAATGGGATAATTTCCTAGGATCTGTTCCCACATCAGGGTCTCAGGCTGTCCCCTCCTAGAATCTCAAAACAGAACCTCTCTGTCCACACCACCACCTCCTTCTGCCAAGCCACCCTACACGGTCAAGTTCAAAGTCCTCTGACACCTACATGGTGAAGTTCAAAGTCCTCTGACACCTTCTCTGATTTCCGGTCTGTGTCAGGGCCCCTCCTTCTCCCCAGCACAGTGCAGGCCCCTGGCCACGCTGTCCTGGAGCATCTGTCTCCCCTACCAGCCCGCTGACCCCTGAGGGTGGAATGTGGGTCCCCAGGGGCCAGCCCAGGGCCCGATAAGGAGCGGGGTTGGCGCGTACTTGGTGACATCAGCAAGAAAGAGGCAAGACTCCTGCTCCCTCTCCCACAGTCTCAGCTCACATTGCTCCTCTGGAGACAAGGTTCTGCGCTGGCTCTGGGCAGATTTAGGGAGAAGGGAAGTCGGGGCTCGCCCCCCAGGGCCCAGCATGGCACCAACAATGGGCAGGAGGGGCCGCCGGGGGAGGCGGCTCTTACCTGGGGCAGAGCTTGCACCACCGTGTCCAGCAGGGCCCGCATGCCCGTGGCCATCTTCAGCAGCTTCAGCACTGTGGGGAGACCCAGCGGCCACTCAGCCAGGCCCGTGGGTGGGGCACGTGCACGTGTGCGAGGGCCACAGAACATGGTGCGGGTACAGGGTGAGTAGGGTGTGCACGGAAACTTGTGGCACAAGGTGTCGACATCGGTGTAAAAAAGGCCGAAAGACAGGGCACACCCAGTGGGAACCAAGGGATAGAAAGTATATGAGTGAAAAAAAAGCATAAGAGTGACCCCTAATTCACCGATGAGGAAAAATGACCACCCCGTGAGGGCCCAGGCCTCTTCCTGTGGCTGCAGAGGGCTCCGGCGTTACCCAGAGCTCCGCCAGCCATCCCCACCTCGGGACCTGGAGGCCACAGCAGGTGCAGGGGGAGGGGAAGAGGCACCTGGGGGAACAGGGAGGCAGGGGGTCTTTGAAAGAAGTGTGGGAGCGGCCAGGGGTGGCGGGAGGCCTGGGAGAAGAAAGGGGATTTTAAGAAGCGTTGAGGCCCCGTGTCCCAGCTGGTGTTGGAGAAATGAAAGGAGAAATGCCGGTGAGGAATTTCAACCTGAGGCTGGGCCGCATGGGTCGTGGTGTGATAAGGGGGGTGCTGTGTGCTGTACAGAACGGCCTGTGGACGTGGGCACCCGAGTGTATGTTGGGTGTGAGCTCCTCCTGGCTTCTGCTCTCATGCTCCCCTTCCCCACCAGCCCCCTGCCCTCACCCCGGGCGATGCGCAGAACCCGCATGATGCGGATGATGGTGGGGTTGATGGGCAGTGCCGCGTTGATCTCGATCTCCTCCAGCGTGATGCCCATGACCGACAGCAGCACGATGGCCAGGTCCAGCTGGTTCCACCTGCTCAGGGGACGAGGGAGGGCAGGAGTGGGAAGCAAAGTGAGAGCCACCTAGATTAGATACATCTCTGTTCGGAGGAGGTCCCAGCTCTCCCCCCTCCTGCTGTGGCTGGCAGGGATGTGTGGCCACCCTTCCAACTAGCCCTCCAGACCCCACTGGGTCCAGCTCCCTCTCTGCCCTTGACAGCCTCCAAATCCTCAAGCAAGAGGCTAACCAGGCTAAATAAGTATCTTCGGCCTCCTGCAGGGGAGAAGAAATGGACTCTGACTTCTGGCTGGAAATCCTGAGCCCCTGTCCCCTCTGTGTGGCCCAGGGCTGGTCTAGGAAGCCCTCTGAGCCTTATGTTCCCTCTGAGAAAGAATGAGGTGTGCCCTGCTCTGCCCGTGGGGTGTGGAGGACCCATGGGAGCTGTGATGAGGAGACTTGGTAGAATGCCCTGCACCCCCCAGGTAGTACCATATCGACTTCCTGTTCAGGGCTGCAGGCAGTACCTAGGGGTCCCTGGTCATCAGTGCCCAGACACTTATTAGTGTCTAGCTGCCCCAGGCTTCCCCAGCGTTCAGGCCTGCTTCCCCATCCTGCAGCCCCGTCAATGCTGCTATGGCCTGGCCCAGCCACTCACCGGTCCTTGAAGAAGCGCCTCACACCAAATGCCACCAGCTTCAGCACAGCCTCCAGCACAAAGACAGTGGTGAAAAAGTAGTTGCAGTACTTGAGGGCTATCTCCAGGGACTATGGGGGAGGGGAAGGGCAAAGAGAAGCATGATCCAGGCCCCAGGACCTGCCCCACCCCCATCTTCCTCTAGTCAGAAAGTCTCTGCCTTTTAAGGGGAGAATTTAACCCATTCACCTTTAGTGCAATGACTTATGTGTCTACTTTTATTCCTTCCATCTTACATAATGTGCACTATTTCTCTCACTGCTATTTCCTTTTCCCTAGTTCTGCTGGTTTGGTCCAGGTAGCCCTCTTTGGAAGCAGTGTTGGTTAATAGTTAGGGGTCATATTTAAGAACCAGACTGCCTAGATTTGAATCCTGGCTCAGCACTTACTCTTTGTTCACTATGACTTTGGGCAAGTCACTTGACCTCTGGGAGTTAGTTTTTCAATCTGTAAACTGGGGGTGACAACAGTCCCTTACCTCAGAAAGTTGCTGTGAAAATTAAATGAGCTAATAGCCCTGTGCCACACAGGGTTATATATTTAAATACTTGGTAAATGTGAGCTATTATGATTCCATTTCTTCATGTAAATTTGGCAGTCCCTTTCAGCCAATGGTTGCCTTCCTTTCCCTCACACGCATAACATTCCTCTCCTATCATTTAAAATAACATACTAACCCCCCACCTGGAGGCTCTGCTCCCCTCTTCTTCCCCCATCTATATATATAAAAGGCTAATATGCAAAATGTCCCCTCTGGAGTTCGACCGGGAGTTTGATCACTCGCTTGCCATGATGTGCACTGACCAGTGGGCAGCATGGAATGAAGGAAGGCTCCGATCAACCCTGATCGCAGGCCTAGGTACCCTACCTGTGCACAAATTTCGTGCACCAGGCCTCTAGTCTCTGATAAGAAACTTTTGGGATGCACTTGCCCCTACAAGCCCCTCACATGCCCCTCATGGACACTGCCTGCAACTAGCTAGGAACTGGTCACCCTCTCCCACCTCTGTGTTTGCCCCCAACAGTCCTGCTACCTGAAATGCCCCTCCCCCAGGCTCCATATGTCCAGGTAGCAGTGGGGGCCGCCTGGCAGTCCTTGAATACAAATCCAAGTCCTGGCTTCACTGCTCTCTGGCTGGCTAATTGAGGCAACATATTTTCTCTCTCTGAGCCTCAGTTTGTTCGTCTACATAATCTGGAGAAGGTCCCCTCCCCCACCTTACGGTTGCTATGAGGATGAGAGAGTTAAAATCGGTACATGCCTTGCAAAAAGTCATATGAAACACACCCTGGCTACTGTTACCTGTACTCAAGGTGGGGTCCAAATGTCACCTTCCCGCCCACCAGAAATTGGAGACCTTTCCCTCTGGCCCCTCTCTTTCAGTCACATGTTCTATCAGGCCGTGAGCTTCCTGGGCATAGGGCCCAGCATGGGCGACTCAGATCCTGCCCACCCTGTCCCAGGGGAAGGGTCCTGCTGAGGGCCTGCTCCCCATGAAACCTCGGCCCCGGGGGGCAGGGCTGGGGCTCACCATCGGCTGGTTGTAGTGTTCCAGGGACATGGTGACCACATTGAGGCAGATGACGAAGGTGATGAAGATGTCCAGGTAGTGGCTGGTGCACATGGAGTGGATGAGCAGCCGGGTGGGACAGTAGGTGGCATAGTAGGGCAGCCGCTGGGCCTCTGCCAGGGGTGCACAGGGGTGTGGCACAGGCCACAGAGGGTGGCCAAGGCGGGCACAGAACATGTGGAGGGAGAGGCAGAGGGGAGAGAGGAAGCAGGCCCTGGGAGTCAGACTTAGGTCCCCTCCACCCAGTCCCGGGGCCACAAGGGAAACGGGTAAGATGTGGGGGTAAGTGGCAGAGAGAGCAGGACACTGATTCTCTCCATCCACCCCGAAAGTGCCCATGGCAGGGGCTCTGGTCTGCTGGGGGGAGAGCAGGGGTCCCACAGCTCAGGGTTGGGCATCAGGCTCTGCCTTTGCCCTCTGTCTGGACGGAGACACCTGGTCAGCATTGGTGTCACCATCAGACACCAGGTGGACACCGATAGGGCTCAAGTCACCTGGACAGGCCGACACTGGGAAAGGGGTAGGGCCAGGGGCACAGGGCCGGACTCTCCATCCCTTCCAGCTCCGAAGGCCCAGAGGCTGGTGTGGGACTCAGGCCTCAGCCCCCGCCCCCGGAAGGATCAGCGGCAGTGGGCAGAGGAGGCCCGGGGTGGGTGCCCCCCACCCTTAGAAGTCACCCACTCACTGCGGCGCTTCTTTTCCAGGCGCCGCAGCCGCTTCTCCTCGCGCCGCCGCGCCTCCTCGGCCTCCTGGTGCTGCCGGCACTTGTGGAAGTTCTCCACCACGACGCCCACGAACATGTTGAGCACGAAGAAGCTGACGATGAGCAGGAAGGAGATGAAGTAGAGCAGCATCCAGGGGTTGTGGTTGGGCACGGGCTGCAGGGAGCCAGATGGGCTGAGGCAGGCTGACCGGGCACCACAGGGCCTGCTGTCGGGGAGGGGCGCCCTACCACGCTGAGCCTCAGTGCAATTCAGATACTAACAGAGCCTGCCTCCTAGGGGGCCGTGAGGTTTGAAGGAGGATGCAGAGGAAGTGCCCATCCTGGCCTGGCACAAGTAAAGTGCTCAGCAAAGACAGCCCCTCCCCTTCCCTGCTCCAGCTGCTGCCTCCTGGACAGATATCCAGCCGTCTCCTTCCTTTCACCCACCCACCATCCACCCACTTATTCATCTGTCCACCCACCATCCACCCACCCATCCATCCACTCATCCATTCATCCACCCATCCATCCACCCATCTATTCATCCATCCATCCACCCATCCATCCAACCCACCCATCCATCCACCCATCCATCCACTTATTCATCTATTCATCCACCTATCCACCCACCCATCCATCCCCCACCCTTCATTTATTCATCCATCCATCTAGCCATCTACCCACTTATTCTTCTGTTTAACCATCATCCATCCATCTAACAATCCATACACCCACTTATTCATTCTTCCAGAAATAAGATAGCCAGCAGGGGGGAAACATATCCCTTGTGGAGTCCGTGTGTGTGTGTGTGTGTGTGTGTGTGTGTGTGTGTGTGTGGTTGGGGTGGTGGACAGATGAAAAAGTACAGGAAGATGCCCCCAAGTGTTCTCATTCCCTATTCCCTACTCTGCCCCAGAAGGGAACCCTACTCTTGGGGGACCTTGGGAGCAAGAGCTCAAGCTTCTGATCAGGCCCAACCCCCTCCCTGATCCCTTCCACCCTCCTCATTCTCAAATCCATCCCCGCCCAGCAGCCCACAAGAAGCTCCCACAAGCAAACCCGATGCTGTCACTCCCTTGCTCTAACACCTTCACTGGCTCCCACTGCCCTCAGCTAAATGCCAGCCCTTGCCATGCCGGGACCACACTGTCCTGCTTGCCTCCTCCACACCTCCTGCCATTCTCCTCCCACTTTCCATTCGGGAACCTCTTCTCACGACTCCCTGAATGTGTCACTCTCTTGCGTCAGGCCTGCACCTACTGTCCCCCATCAGCTGGCTCAGCCCCTCTCCACCCACAAGGCCCTGCACCCCTCCAGGCCGGAACCAGCTTGGAGGGCTGCCCCTACAGAGCAAGGGGCTTTGTTGAAAATGGAACAATGACTTTCATTCCCCAAGGGGTGGCTCTACTGGTGGATGATTCAGGCCCGGATGGCAAGGGGTGGGCCGCACTGACAGTGGGAGACACTGGGGCGTGGGTCTTGCTGACACAGATTCAGACCACTGGGCCCGAAAACCACCGCGTCCCTTCCCTGCTGCCCTGTGACCCAGCCCAGCCACGCCCACCTGCTGGTCCACAGCGACAGCATCCAGTCCATTGTACATGATGTTCACCCAGCCATCCTTGGAGGCCAGGACAAAGAGGGACATCAGGGCCTGGGAGACACGGGGTGGGGACAGAGGTGATGGGTTCACAAAGGGTCCCGGACCAGCAGAGATTGCCCGGCCGTCGCACACCTACTCTGGACACTCCTCTCCCTGAGCCCGCCTCCTGCTCCACCCTGTGCTTCCAGAGCCCTGGGCCAGGAAATGAGGTTCTGGGATGGGTCTCCTGCCGGCACTGGCCCCTCCTTCCTGTCTATACAGGCTGCAGACCGGTCCTCTCCCTTCCAGCTGGGCGTGATGCCAAGGGCTGCCCGGAAAGGGTGCCGGCACAGGGCGGGCGGGCAGGGGACGCAGAGGAAGCCTTCTGGCCGGGGAGGCACATGAAGCTCACAGGCCAGGGGACAAATGCCCCTGGAAGCCCTGGGATCACAGAGGCCTAAGGTGCAGAGAGCCTGCGACGGAACCTCAGACCTGCGATCACTGTCCCCATTACGGGGAGGACACGGAGCACAGAGTCACGGGGGCTTGCCTGAGGGCACACCGCTGGGAATGACCCCAGAAAGGGGTCAGGGCTCTGGGCCACCCGCTCACCCCCTTTGGCTCTGCGTGCTGAGAGCGCCATGCTCAGGGCCTGGCATTGAGCATGCTCAGAATGGAAGGGCTGGATGCCCCATGGGGGCTGCGGCTGGGCCTGGCGCTGCGGCCAGGGGTCAGGGGTCAGGAGCAAGCTCATTGAAAGCCCCCACTGGCTTGCCCTCAGCTTAGTGGAACACCTTTTTTAAAACATCTGTTTTTCCAACATTGAGTTGATAATAAATTAAAAGGCACTGCTTCCGGGGAACTGGGAGGAGTTGGGGGAGCGACTGCACCCCAGTTCCTAACCCCTTTCCCCGGCTACTCACTGCCCCTCTGTGGCCGCATGGCCCATCTCCTGGGGGGCATGGGGAGTGGGATCTCTGGTCATGTGGGGTGAGACTCCAGTGGGAACCCACTGGAGGATCCCAGCTGAGGGGTGGGGCATGGGCCCTGGGCCACTTGGACCTGGATCCTGCCCCTTCCCTGTGTGACTGGGGCAGGCACTCCCCGTCTGCTCATACCCAGCACCGGGTGGGCCTTCAAGAAAGAGGAGCATTTGGGGGTCTTTGTAGGCAACTGGCTGGAGGCTCTCATCTGGGCACCTCCCAGATGGCCAGGCCTGGGAGGTCCCCAGGAGAGGAGACAACGGCGAGGCCGGAAGTGGGCAGGGGCCTGCCTGGGAGTGGGGAGAGCAGAGTAGAAGGGCGGGGAAATCCACCCTGGGCAAGGGGCCGGGTGCACTTTCATCTCTCCACAGCCTGCCTGGTGGGCTGTAACATTCCCATTTTACAGATAAGGAAACTGAGGCTCAAAGAGGCCACCCCTCAGTAAGTGGCAGAGCCGGGATTCACACCCACGTCTGGCTGACTTTCAAACTCCTGTCTGGGTCCCATGGGTCGGGGTGGGAGCCAGGAACCAGTGTCCGCTGAGGCGCCTATGCAGCGCCAGGCACTTGGGGACACTGCACTCAGAATCTCTCATTCTCATGCCACCTGTTAAGGTGGTGCTACTCCTACCCATTTTACAGAAGAGGAAACTGAGGCTTGGGAAGGAGAAGTCCCAGGGTCAGTCCTGGGAGGGCATTGCAATCCTGGAGGCTGGTCTATAATCCCAAGTTGCTGGCACTGAAGAACTGTCACTCCCCCCACTGGGGTGGTAGGTGAGGAGGGGTAGGTGGGCAGAGCTCACCTGGCCCAGGTTGTCGAAGTTGTACTTGTGATGGACCCAGCGGTAGTTGGCGGCCATGCAGTCAGAACGGTTGGTGATGTTGCGGGTGTCCACACCCAGACAGTGGTAGAACTTGCCCTTGAAGAGCTGCGGGGAGGGACACAGGGTGAGCGACCGTCCTGGCAACGCTCCCGGGGGTGGGGATGGGCGTGGGTGCCAATCAGAAGAGGGACTGCTCCTCAGGAGACACCTCAGTACACAGCCTGGGCCAAGCACTCAACACCATCGCCCACGTCCCCCCAGGAAGTGGCACTGCTCTCATCCCACCTCACAGATGAGGAAACTGAGGCCCCGGGTGGCAGGAAATTTTCTCAAAGTCACTTGAGCTTTAGGAAGTGGCAGAGTCGAGGTTCACTCCCTGGTTTGTCTGATTCCTGGGCTTTGCACAGACCCGAGCTCAGACCCCAGTGTCCGTGCTGGAGATGGGGCAGGGACCCCACGGGAGGAGATGCTGCATATCCCCAGGGGAGGGAGGAGAGAGAGAGAGAGAGAGAGAGAGAGACCCTCTCTCACCAGGGACTCAAGCCTCCTCCATGTCAACTGCCTGGAAGGGTCAGGGCCACTGTCCACTCCCAGCCCAGTCCTCCCAGAGGCACCACGGCGGTGGCCCCAGGCTCCACTGTGACTCTCAGTAACCCCAAAGGACACCTGTGCCCGGGCTCCTCACCAGCTACCGCCCAAATGCAGGACCAGCTGAGGAGCCTTGGGGCCTCGGGGCTCAGACGCCCAGAAACAGGAAGGGTCTCAGTAGCCGCTCAGACCCCAGAGGACCCAGCTCACGCTGGCCATCCCCGTCTCACACTTTATGACCCAACCCACCCCAGCCCCGAGGCCCAGCTTACTCCTGGGCTGGGCTCCACACCAAAATCCGAGCCAGCTCCAGGCCCTGCCTGTGCCAGACCTTCCATGGCCCCAGTCCCGGAGACACCAAGCCCCAGCTCCCTAACTGCCATTCCAAGTTCTTCCCCCTCTGACCCCGCCCACCATCGGCTCATCTCTCTGCCAGTCAGAGCTCCAGCTCACCTCCACATGTGCCCATCTCCCCTGAATCACCTGCCCGCCGCCCCCCTCCCCAACCTGTCCAAATCACGTCTCCTTCAAGGCCCGGTGCAAAGGGCACCTCCTGCAGGGTGCTTCCCCCATTGTCCCCAGCCCAGCCCCCTGTCCCTGTGTAGCTTGGACCCCTGTGATCCAATTTACCCAGCCTGCCTTGCACACAACCATTCTGGCCACGTCTGTCTCCCTCCTGGACTGGGAACTCGCTGCTGACAGGGACGTGCCTGCTCCACCAGGGCCACCTGAGCCCCCAGGGTCGGAGGAGCTGAGTGGGAGTGAGGAGCCTCTATTCCCACCTTAGAGCGACACCACTGCCTGCCCATCGGGCAACCCTCACCTGTACCCCCAAGATGCCGAAGATGATGAAGAAGGCACAGCAGATGAGGACAATGTTGCCGATGGGCTTAAGGGAGGAGATGAGTGTCTCCACCACCAGCTTCAGGCCCGGGGCCCGGCTGATGACCCTGCAGGCAGGGAGGGACCAAGGGCACTGTTGGGCCTCAGCCAGGCAGGACGCAGCCCAGTCCTCCCAGAGGCACCACGGCGGCGGCCCCAGGCTCCAGACCTATAGGCACAGCAGGGCTCTGCGCAGGGCCACCTCCATCCCCGTCTCCCAGTGTGAGAGTGTGTACACACGTGCCCACACACACACTCACATACACACGCACATGCACACACTCATACACACGCACACACACACACTCATACTCACACCTCTCAGGTCTTTCTCTAAAGTACCCCAACTCCCTTTGTATAATCCTTTGTACCCACTGGGACCTCCAGGATATTGATTCTACCTTGTCAATATCCATGGACGTGTGAACACACACTCATACACACACACATACACACACACATACACACGCACATACACACTCATACACACACACTCATACACATTCACATACACACACACTCATACACACATACACACACTCATACACATTCACATACACACACACTCATACACACATACACACACTCATACACATTCACATACACACACACTCATACACACATACACACACTCATACACATTCACATACACACACACTCATACACACATACACACACTCATACACATTCACATACACACACACTCATACACACATACACACACTCATACACATTCACATACACACACACTCATACACACATACACACACTCATACACATTCACATACACACACACTCATACACACATACACACACTCATACACATTCACATACACACACACTCATACACACATACACACACACTCATACACACTCACATACACACACACTCATACACACTCACACACACATACACTCACATACACACACTTATACACACATACATACACACACACTCATACACACTCACATACATACACACACACACTCATACACACTCACATACACACACCCACACATACACACTCACATACACACACACACACACACACACACACACCCTCAGCCTGGAGCCTGGCCCTGCTCAGCTAGTGCTGGGCACGTGCTAGCAGAGGACTGGGTGGGTGAGGAGGGCAGGAGAGAGTGATCCACGTAGACCCCAGGCCCGCCCCCCAACACGAAGGACTCCTCACCGCAAGGGTCGTAGGGTGCGCAAGAGCCGCAGGACCCGGAGGACCCCCAAGATCTTGGCTCCACCGGCCGAGGCCAGGGAAACCACGATGTCGATGATGGACACGAAGACCAGAAAGCCGTCCAGCACATTCCAGCTGCTGCGCAGGTACGCCTGCTCCCCGAAGTACAGGCCCAGCGAGACCACCTGGGGCGGGGTGACGGGCCAGGTCATCTGCCTCAGCCACAGCGGTGGGGTGAGGGGGATCAGGCAGGTGGGGTGGCGCTGCAGGGGTCACATGCCCCATGGCCCACTCAGAAGGTGGGTGGCAGGCCGGACCTGGAAGGTCTGGGCACATGAAACAGCCCCACAGCCTGTCCTGGTCCGCTCTCCCCTCACATCTGCAAACCCAGTTCCAAGCCGCGCGCTCTGGGAAGTGGCCCACGCATCCCGTGGGTACCCCACTGCACTGTAAGCATTTCCCTGCATTAGCCTTTCTGGCCGGTTGTGACGTCCTGGAGAGCAGGATGCGGCTGACCCCCCCACCCCACCCCGTTACACGAGCCCAGTGCTGGTACCAAGCGGGGGTGGTTCTCGGGGGCCCCTGTGGAATGCTGCTGACCAGCAGGTGAGTGACAGCTGGGGGAGGGCGGGCCACTGGGGGTGGGAGAGGTCCCAGGTGAAGAGGGGCTACCTTCAGTGTCATCTCGCCCACGAAGATGGCGGTGAAGATGTAGTTGGACACGGTGAGGAATATGCGTTCCTGAAAGAGCAGGAGACACCATGGGCCTGGGGCTCCCAGAACTGCGGGTCCCCTCTGCCTCTGGCCAAGGGGCCTCGAGGGGAGGCAACTTCACAGTCCAAGGAGGTGCCCCTCCCCAGAGACAAGCTTCCTGCCACACCTTCCTCCGCAGCATCGATAGATATCCACCTTCTGAGCTCCTAGCCACCTGACGCCCTGCACCCCGCCCCATAGCAGGCCCCATGGCCCGCCCTGCCTGGCCCCGGCCCTGCCCGAAGGCCCCAGCCACTCACAGTGCTGCCCGCCTCAATCTGGGGCCTCTCCAGGGCGATGGTGATGCAGTTGAGAAAGATGAAGGCCAGGACGACGTAGTCGAAGAGCTTGTGGGCAATGATGGTCTGGCACAGGACCCGGAACCTGAGCGGAGTGGGCAGGGCCATGAGTCTCCGTTTGCCCCTCACCCCGGCGGGAGGAAGGCAAAGGGCTTAGGCCTGGGGATGGCCCAGAGGAAACGGACTCTTCTTTTCTCCGGCCACAGCCATTTACATCTGCTCATGGTGCCCACCTGGAGCCGCCTCCTGACCACACACCCACGGCAGCTCCCACAGCCGCAGCATGAAGGGCACCCTCCTTGCCCTGGCACTCGAGGCTTTCCAAACACCCGCCCGAACCCCAATGCCCTGCCCTCCGCCATGCGGACACACCGGGCCTGATACCCCGAGCTTCTGCCCCAGACCCTCCCTCGGGTTGCTCCCTCCACCTGGTCCAGCCTCTGCCTCTACACAGCCCTGCTCCACCTACAGACGCCACAAGGCCTCCTCCCGCAGGAAGCCTAAGGGTCCCCTCCCATGGGAGCGCCCGGCTACTTGAGCATCTGTCCACCCTGGTGCCAGCTCAGGGATGGCCTAGACCCGTGGTTCTCAACCTTCTGCCCTTCAAATACAGTTCCTCATGTTGTGACCCAACCATAAAATTACTTTCGTTGCTACTTCCTAACTGTAATGTTGCTACTGTGATGAATCGTCATGTAAATATCTGATATGCAGGATGGTCTTAGGCGACCCCTGTGGAAGGGTCGTTCGACCGCCAAAGGGGTCACGACCCAGAGGTTGAGAACCGCTGGCCTAGACGAAAGTCCCCATTCAAACACCCCCCCTGCCCTGAGCCCCTCTACACAGGAGGGCACCAGCCTCCATGGCCCGACCTGCTCTGTAGAAATCGCTCCCTCCCAGACCTGCTCACCCCGATCCAACCTCCCCCCAAGCCTGGCCCGCCCACCTGTTCTCAGGGGAGAAGAGGTAGACAGACCAGTCCTCGCGGATCTCGCACCAGTCGGGTTTGTACGCGTCAATCATCTTGCGCACCCGGAAACACAGAGTCTGGCAAGGAGAGGAGGGGGTGCGGACTGGTCAGCGCTGCCCAGAGCTGCCCGTCTCTGCCCTCTCCAGCCACCCAGCAAGCTGGGGTCCCCGGGTGACCTCTGAACTCTCCCAGCAAGATCAGAACCCACACCCCTCCCAGGGCTCCTCTCCCAGGGGTGGGCCCAACGAGCTGTGGGCAGCTCCAGCCACCTCCCGCTCACCCGCCTGAGCCCTGCCCCCTGCCCCTGCCCCTCTGCCCTCCTCCCTCTGTCCCATGGACCTTCTCCTGGCCCTGCCCCTCAGCCCCGCCAACTCGCCAACTCACGTAGTCGACCTCCTCCTCATCCTCCCCGTGGTCCCGGCGGTCACCCATCTGCGTGAAGACCTCCTTGGCGATGTGGGGCATCCTGCCGTTGCAGTCCTCGTGCCCGGGGGCTGGGCCCGCTGCCC